TGGCGGTGGGGACCCCCCATCCTGGTGCCCTGGCTGGCAGCAGGCTGGGTTACTGTCCTGGGGGGCCAGGGGGGCCCGGCAGCCCCGGGGGTCCTCGCAAACCGGGGTCACCCTTAGGCCCCGTCGGGCCAGCCTGGCCGACAGCCCCGGGGGTCCCGGGGAGTCCCGGTTTGCCCTGTGGTCCGGGGGGTCCCACTGGCCCCGGCACCCCAGCTGGCCCGGGGGGGCCGGGGTCTCCCTTGGGTCCCCCCTGTCCCCGGGGGCCGGATTGCCCAAAGCTGCCCTTGGTGCCCTTGAGGCCGGGGAAGCCTTTCAAGCCCAGGGGACCCCTTTCACCCTGGGGGCCGGGGGGTCCAGGGGGGCCGGGTGGTCCCTGGGGTCCCGGCGAACCCAGGCTGCCCACGTCGCCCTTCTCTCCTTCGCTTCCCGGGGGGCCCTTGACGCCCACGTCGCCCTTGAGGCCGCGGGGGCCCGGGAGTCCCGGCACACCTGGGGGGGGAGAGGAGGGGGTGAATTGGAAGTATGGGGGGGCAGCACCCCAAAGCGGGGAGAGAGGGAGATGCCCCAGCCCTGCAGCCCTTGCTAATACCAGGATCAGTTAAGCCTGGCTCATCCCACCCTGCAGCCCTTGCTGTGGGCTCCAAGGACAACTGGCACCCCGGGGGGGCACGGTGCCACCACGGGGCTCCCCCTAAAACCAGATCCAGGAAACGGCCCAGCTCATTAATTAGGGCAGCCCTGTAAGGATGCAGATGCGGTTGCCGTATGGTACCCGGGCTGGGTGGTCTGTGGCAGAGCGGGAAGCTGCCGGGGTGCCCGTGGGCTCCATGGAGCCGATGGTGGAGCCGGGACAGCCCCGCTGCTCCCCTGGGTGGATGGAGATGTCCCCAGGCCACCCAAGCCACTGGGAGAAGCTTTGGGCACCCTCGTCCAGTGGCAGCCATACCCTCCCCACCGGGACCAGCAAGAAGGGTCACCGGCACCGGTGTGCGTGCTGGCTGTGCTAGAAGGACACAGGTCACCTCCCTGCTGTCCCTGTCCCCCCCCAGGCAGGGAGAGCTCTGCAAGCTGAATCCATGCAGCTCCATCCCCAGGACACCCCTGCATCCATGGGCAAGCGTCTGGGTGTCTTTGTGCACATCTCAGTGCTACCTTGGCCTCAGCGATGGCGGTTTGGGTCCTCCACCGCCTGCCTTGGGTGCAGGATGCTCCCAAAGAGCCCAGATCCCACCATGCTCAGCCACAGAAGAAACAGCCCCCCCAAAATTGCCTGCCCAACACGCCTGGCCCCAACCCATGCCTGGGCAGGGCTTAGACTGTAACCCACCAGGATGCACCTCACCTCGTAAGATGGTGATGTTTTTCAGCATCTCCCCATGCCGGATGTCTACCACCTTCATCTCCTCCATGACCATGGACAAGTTGCGGATGTCAAAGTCCAGCCGGGCGCTGAGCAGGCTGTAACGCTCCCGCAGCAGGTCTGTGGTGCCCTGGACCAGGCTGAGGGATTTGTTCAGGTAGTAGAGCTCCTCAGCATGGGTGTGGAAGCCCAAGGTACAGGAGAGCCGCACATCATCCAGGTAGCGCAGCATGCTGTGGACGTGGCTGTCGGTGGCGTTGATGTTGGCAAAGATGGTGCTGATCTCAATCTCGTGGGACATCATGCGACCTTCCAGGGTCTCGAAGCGCTCGGCGGTGCGGTTCTGCGTGTACCTGTTGTGGTAGCGCAAGTCATTCATGTTCTCCTCGTGGTCGTCCAGGAAGGAGGAGATGTTGTCCAGCTGCAGCTGCAGCCCCATCACCTGCAGCACCAGGTCGTGCATGCTCTCTGAATTCTGGCCGACCTGCCGAGCTGCTGCGCCGATGCTGCCTTGGATGCTCTTCACCAGCTCGCTGGTCTTGGAGGAGGTGGCCCGCAGCCCGCCGAAGAGGCGGGTGTAGTTCTGCCACTCGGTGACGATCTTCTGCAGCGTCAGCGTCTCCTCGTCCGTCTTTCTCTGGATGACCTGGATCCAGTCGGAGGTTTGTCCCAGGGTGAAGTTCATCTGCTGCATGGCTGCTCGGACATCATAGCGCTCCTGGGCCAAGCCCTTGAGAGAGTTGTCCAGCTGGGAGGTGACCACCTGCCAGCCCCCAACCTGGGCCAGGAGCTGCCCCAAGCTTTCGTTGACCTGCCGGATGGAGAAGGAGCAGTTGTCCACCTCGCTGGTGATCTTGTTGCTGGTGGATGACAGCTGGTTGTGGGTCTGGGAGGTCCGGTCGAGCAGGATTTCTTGAACCAACAGCATCTTCTGGATCTCCTCCAGCTCTCCCTGCAGCCTGGAGATCTCCTGGCTCAGCTGTCCTGTCTCGTGGCAGAGGGAGCAGTTCCCCGAGGTCTTCTCGTCTGAATGAAGGGCAGAGGGGTCTGTTACCCCAACCCATCCCTTGCTGGGCCTGGAGACCCTCCCGCTGAGGACGAGAGCAGAGGAAGGAGCCTCACCATGGTCTGTCCTTGCAGACCCTGGAGATGTGCACCACCACGGAGCCACAGCTGGGACAAGGCTGATGCCACCAGCCTGCACCAGCTCCCCCCCTCATCCTGCTCCAGCCACCTCTGTGCAGCAAGTTCTCCAAAAAGCCGAACACCGCCAACCCTACCCTCAGGGTCGTGTGGTCATCCCTCCCCAAAATCCTGGGAGATAAGTGGGGGTTTGGTTCTGAGGGAGCCCCAGAACCTGAAAAGTGGAGATGCTTCAGCCCCTGGCTGGCAGCACTGAGCAGCTGAGGTCTGCTCAGCTGGAGGGACGTGTGGGGCTGAAGCCTGGAGAAGACCTCCAGGTCCAGGTGCGAGCCACTCACCCAACCCCTGGAGGTCGTCCTGGATGGATATGATCTTCTTCTCATAATAAGTCTGGGCTGAGCTGATGTCGTTGGAGATGGAGTTGACTTTCTTGAACACTGTGGAGGAAAGGTGGGGAGGTCAGGGGAGGTGGGCAGGTGCCGGGATGTCATCGTCCTTCACACCTTTCCTCCGGGCTTGTTCCCTGGTGAGGAGGGTGGCCAGGGCTCGAAGAGTCAGGCTGGGTGGCTGGTGGGTGCTGGCTCCATGGGCTGGGTGTCCCAAGGGGCTTTCAGGTTCGGGGCTTGGCTAAGGTCTACAAAGCATCTCTGGGGGTCCAGCCCCGGGGAGCCCACCGTCCCTCCGCTGAGCCTTGGAGGCTGTTTCTTGCCTGTGGAGGTGATGGGGTGGCAACCTCTGGGGTCAGGGGTGGTTCCTGAGGTCCCCATGGGGGTAAAGCCATCCCCTAGTGAGGTGGCATCAAGCACAGCATCCCAGGGGCAGGTCAGGGGGAGCTGGATGCTCCTCTCCAGGGCTGGGTGCTGAAGGTGCTTTGGGGGAGCCCCGGTATCCCCAAGAGGCTGCCCCGAGGATGGCAGGAGGGAAGGCAGGAGCCGGACCTCCCAACCCTGCCCGTGCTCACCCAAGGCAGCCAGCACGGTCACGGCCACGATGAGGAGGATGGAGAAGACGTAGAGGACTTTGACAGCCGTCTGGAGGGAGAGGTTCTTCTGGCACCGGCTGCAGCTTGTCCGTGCCCTGCCTGAGCGCAGAGAGGGGAAGGATCAGGCCCTGCCGCACCCCCTGCCCACCCCGGGGGACATCCTTACCGCTCGGCCGGTAGCTGAAGGTCGGCATCTCCTCTTCCTCTCCTCCCGCTGGCTCGTCTTCTGAAAGCCAACACGGGAGGGACCTGAGCTGCCTGCGCTGCCAGGGCCCTGCCTGCTGCCTGCACTCTCCTGCACCCAGCCCCGAGGATGCCGGTGGTCCCTGGGGCCGAGCTCCGAGCTTCGCCGTAACCCGGCGTCCCCGGGGAAAAGCTGAGGAGCCACATGGGACCCATCGCTGCCACCCTCAGCTGGGCAAAGCCCGGTGGCACCAGCCCGTTGGGACACGTCCCCGCTCCACCTCCTGCTTCTGCGGGACTTGGCTGAGACCTTTGCGCTCCAAGACCGTAAACTTGGGGAAATTTGGTTGAATTTGGCCAAAAAAAGTGGATGATGGAGAAGCTGACGGCTCCTGGCTCCGAGCCCCGAGGGGCTTTGCGGCTTCCCAGCCCCTTCTCACAAAAACCATGGCAGCAAAGAAAAACCCACTTGCCGCCTCAGCCGGCACCCAGCCTGGACCCCCATCCCGGTGTGGGGGCGAGTTGGGGTGCTCCCACAGGGTGGGAAACGCCATGGGCTGGATCTCACCAATGGCTCCGGCACGGGGGATGCGCTCAGCACCGGTACCCGACCCTGAAGGAGCCTGGGGCTGGGGGACGGTGCCCCTTTCCCTGGCTTCCCAAAGCTGTACCATGCCCGAGAGCCCCCCGCAGCCCCCCGCCAGCCCAGCCACCCCCTGCCCAGGGCCTCCCCCACCTCCTCGCCGACAGAAGGAGGGTTTCCAGCCGGGGGTGCCGCAGGGGGGCTGCAGGCACGGCCGGAGTGACCGTGGCACCGACATCCCCTGCTTTATAAAGCCCGGCCTCCCCCATGCAAAAGCAGGCGGGGGGCAGGAGAGGGGCTGCGGGCGGGGGGGGGGGCGCTGGGGTGGGGGCAGCAGCGATTCCATCCGTCCTCCCTGCCGTGGCCCTTCGCTTTTTGGCTGCCTCAAATTTTGCTTTTCTGCCCCATGGAGTCAACAAGTGATGGGCTCTGAGCATGGCGGGGGGGAAGCGCTGCCGCTGGTCCGGGAGCCCTGGAACCTTGCCCCCCCCAGCCCCTTTTGCGCCCCACAGCGCTGTGGGGTTCCCCGGCCGTGGCCAAAGCCGGCTCAGCCCCCAGCCATGGGGAGATGCTGCCCATGGGGAGCAGGGATGCGGTGGGATTCGGGGGGTGCATCCATCCCGATGCCGGCTGCCCCCCCAGCTCCGCTACCAGCTCCGGCACAGCCGTCCCCTCCTGTCCCCCGTGCCGCCAGCCCTGCTCCTCTCCCCACGGTTCCAACACCCCCCCCAGGGCTGCCCCCCACTCACCTTTCATAGCCCCCGAGCTGGGGGGCGGTGGGTGCAATCCTGCACCGACCCAGGCCTCACCGCCCCGGTTCCCGCATCCACCCCGGCACTTCTTTTCCCGGCGAGCGTCAGCGAGCGGCCAGCATGGCCGGGGCTGCTCCCCACCGCCGGCCCCCCGCTCCCAAAACTTCCTGGGGAGCCTTCAAAAGCAATCGTGGTGGCGGAGCATCCCCACGGCTGCCCGCTCACCCATGGCCTCTGCCCACGCGGGATGGGGGAATGGGTGACGGGTGACGGCAGAGCCCAGTTGGGCTGGACGCCGGCCACCGAAAGGCGAGGCGCTGGGATATGTGCTGGAGAAGAAAGGCTGGTCCCGCGCCCGCCCTCCTTCCCTCCAGCCCTAATGACTAACAAATGTCCGACCCATGTCGTGCTGTGCTGTGCTGTGCCGTGCCGGCCTCGCTCAGCCGTATTTGGGGGGGGGCCTGGGGTCTGGAGAAGGTGTGCTGGTCTGGGGAGGGGGTTCTGGTCCAAGGGCAGCGGGTCTCGGGAGTTTGGCTTAGGGAGATCAGGATTGGGGGTTTGGGTACATGTATCTGGGTCAGCGAGATGGGGTGCTGGGTCTGGGGTTCGGGGTATGGCCCCTGGATCTGGGTCAGGGATATGGGGTGCTGTAGTTTGGGGTCTGGGGTCCTGCTCTGGGCCCCTGGGTCTGGGTCGGAGACACAGGGTGATGTGGTTTGGGGTCTGGGCTCCTGGCTGGGACCCAGGGTGCTGTGGTTTGGCTCCTGACTTCTGTTTTGGAGCGGTGGTCCTAGTTCAGAGACATGGGATGGGGGTCACGTGGGGGTCAGGGATGTTTGGGGGTTCCTTGCTGAGACCCCCCTCCCCACCAAGGCTTTTGTGTCGGGCTGCTGCTGCCCTCTGCTGAGACCCAGCTGGGCTCCCAGGCAGCCTTCCTCCCCGCACGGCCTCCCTCCTCCTCCAAGGGTCCACCGGCCACCTCTGGGACATAACTCCGTGGGGGGAGTCTCCAGCTGGCCAAACCTCCGCCACTCCTGCAGCAGCCTCCTGCTTGCTCCAGCCCTGGCCTGCCCTTCTCGTCTGGGTTGTATTAGTCGATTTTCTATAATATTCCCCATACCAGCACCTGCCTCCCCCCTCCTCACTCGGACGTGGCTCCTGGACATTGCCATCTTGTGTTTTCAGGTCCTGGAGCCTCCCCCTCGCCCCCCTGGCCATTTCTAGGAGCATTTTGGGGGTCTCTCTGCTGCTTCCCCGGACTTTCCCCACCACGTTGTACCGGAGAACATGCCAATGCCTATCATGATAATTTTTTAATCGCCAGAGCCCCACGAGTGATGCTCTTGCAGCGGTTCTGTCCTCTGATGCCCCAGCCCATGGCATCTTTTTGGGGTTCATGAGGTGGCTGCCAGAGGATGCTCGCTGACAGCCAAGGTCTTCTTCCCACCATCCTCATCCTCGGCAGCTGCAGTTTGCTGCTCTTCCTCAGCCCATTCAGGCCTTCCCTGATGACTCATGGCCGGTGGAGCCGATCCAGAGATGTCCAACTCAGTCCATGCCGCCTTCCTTTGGCTGCAGCTATTTTAACCGCCGCCTTGCTACAGGATTTACCAGCCGGCTAAATGCTGGTGCTAAATCAGCGGCGGGGTTGCTCTCTTGCATCCGTGCTGACTCAGCATTTGGGCTGCCGTCTCGCCGCAGAAGCAGTAAATATACTTCTGCTGGTGTGGCAGATGGGTCCCTGCCACAAGTCCCTGGGCTACCAGACCCTGGGCTACCTGCCGTGCCCTGGATCCTACCATCAAGTGCAGCTCGTCGTTGGGGGGTCCCCAAGTCGGGGTGGCTGCCCCACACCAGCTCCAGTTAAACAGCCGAGAGTCTCCCACCTTGCTGCTCCTCTGGCTTCAACCAGCTTATGGACCAGAGCTTGGGGTTCCCAGGATCTGTGCACCCACAGGGCACATGGTTGCCCTCCACCACCTTCATCATCTGGTTTACCTGTTGGACTTGATGATCTTAAGGGCCTTTTCCAACCTAAATGATTCTATGATTTTATGCAGCAGAGGGGCTTGGAGAGCTACAACCTGGGAACCATCAGGACAGATAGAGAAGGCTACGGACCCACAACCCTTTGAAGACCATGAGGAGCATCAAGAGATCATCTGAAGGTCACTAATGGGGGCTGAGACTCAGGTGTTGGGCACCGGTGGCTCCTCTCTCCTCCTCCACCGCTCCCAAAGGCTGCTGAGCCTTGAGACATGATTCACCGGTGTTGTGGGTGAACCCCCCCCCCGTAGGCAGAGGAGTGTGAGAAGCAGAAAAGGCCTTGACACTGTGCAAGCATTGTGATAACTAAAGCATGCCTCTCTTATCAACACTTCTCAGCGCAAATCCAAACCGCAAGCTGCTATGAAGAATTTAACTCTATCCCGGCCAAACCCAGTACAGAAAGGAAGAGGAAAAACAAGAAAACTTGTGGGTCAAGGTAAAAATCGTTTAATAAATGAAGAAGTGGAAAAAGAGGGAAAGAAAATACAAAAACCAAAGCAAGTGATGCAGAGGCCATCACTCACTATCTCCCACAGTCCCGAGCAAAAACTGGCCCAGCTCCCCCAAGCCCCCCTGGACTGGGGGTGGCAACACCATCCCAGTGCTCCCAGCACTGTTGGGACCACTGCCGGAGAGCCCAGCACCATGCTGGATGCTATGAAGAAAACCAACTCCATCCCAGTCAAAACCGGTATACCCAGCAAGTCTTCCCTCCCCATCCTCGAACACCATTAACAAGAGGTTGTGCATTCCTCAGTCCTGCCTAAAAGGTCCCTAGTCCTGCCTAAAAGCTCCCCCAGTCCTGCCTAAAAGCCCCCCAGTAAGCCCAGTACACCCATTTTCTCCCCACACCACGATACACAACCCACAGAGACAGCAATCTCACGGAGGAGTCGGGGGGCTATGGAGCATCCCCCTCCAGGCAGCCCCTCAGCAGCACGACTTGGGTCCGGTGCTTGTAGAGGACCCTGTCCTCCTGCAGCCGGCGGAGCTGCAGGAGGACATTGCCCTGGGGACAGACGTCCTCCTCGCATCCCCTCCGCACCTCCAACGGGAAGCCAAAAATAATTTGGTAAGGGCTTAGCACCGCTTTCTGTGCCTGTATGGATCTGATCCCCGTCAGGATCAAGGGGAGCATCTTCACCCACTCCTTGCCGGCCCCCCGGGCCAGCCGCTGCAGGGTTGCCGTGGCCGATGCCACCTGGCTGGACTGCAGGATGTCCCACGGGATCTCCGTGTCGGACACCGCCTTCACGACGGCATGCCGGAGGATGCGCGGCACGTTCGGCAAACGGATGGCACGAGGCGTCCCGTACCGTGTAAAAACCTCCCTGTAGAGCACCTCGGCCATCTCCTCCGCGGTCGCCTCCCGCAACAGGAAGGCTTCCACCCACCCCGAAAACTCATCCTCCACCACCAAGAGGGAGCGGTGCCCCTCCTTGGTCTCGGGGAGACTACTGATGTAGCCCAGCTGGAGCTGCGACCACGGCCCCTCTGCCCGCTGGACCAGCACGCTGTCCGCTCTGTCCCTGTCTGCGGCACATTTCAGGCAGTTCTGCACCCAACGGGCCACCTCCCTGCCGTCACCTTCCCAGCCCGCGACCTGCCGTACCCTTGCCAGGGTCCT